GGAGTAGGAACCCTGTCCAGGGTCCTCTACATCCTCCAGGGCCGACTCAGAGGGCCCCTCGCTGTCGGTGTCTGGTGGCAGCTCCAACAGCTCCTGCTGGGCCACAACAAGATCGTAATCCTCTTCCCGAACTTTATATTCTATTTCTTCAAATATGTATGTTTCTGTGACTTGTAGGAATATATGCTTAGAAGATGTGCTTAAGTTTATTTTGTATCATCCGCTGGGTCCACACCTTGCTGACTTTTGCAGACCTGGTTAATACTTGTGTGAAGGACCACTTGGAAATCCCAGGGCTTCAGCATAGATTGGTAAGAAAGCAATGGCCAAGAAGATTAAATAGACAAATCTATAAGGCCTCCAAGAGTAAAGTTCACCTCAAGGGAGTCTCGATGTTTTTACTTTTAGCTGCAGATGAAGCAGATCACCTCCAGTGAAAATACTTGTGTTTGCCATATATTTGCAGATCTCTTCCTTTGCAGCTAAACATTCTGGAAAGCTGTTCTTATTCAAAAGAATTAAAAACAAAGCACTTAGAATTGGGAGACTGGACTGAAGCTGCCATACTTAAGATGAAGCAAGCATGTAAGCACGGTGGAATTAAAGGCAGGGAAATAGGGGAAAGAGTTAGGAAGGTATCCAGTCCTTAAGAAATCAAAGAAAACTCACCTGAGCCAGACAAAGAAATTGGGCCCGAACACATGCAACCACCCCTCCGCATGTCCCATCAACAGCTATCAGACTTGAGAATCAACAAAGGAAGAAGGACTTTGGGAGGTAAAAGAGTTCTGAAGTCTGCCCACTCTTGGAGTCCTTTTTGAATCCAGATTTGGCAGCTTTCCTCCCTCTGGCTAGTGCCTGCAGTCTAGTTGAGAAGGATGTCGGTAAGTGGGAATAAGTGTGTGTGTGTGTGGGAGAGAGAGAGAGTGAGGGAGAGTATATATTGTAACTAGTTACTTTAAATTCCCGTGTATTCTAAAGAAATTATTGTGCCTCAGTGAATGGTTGAACGTGATTTGAGTATAGCTGTTCTCCAGGGCTATGAATGTATGAGTGTCCATATACGTAAAACGGTTCCACCACAAAACCGCGGTAGACTAAAGCGCGTGTGACTAAAGCGCGGTGACAAAAACGCACCGTCAAAACCGCGCGACAACGCGCCGACAACAGCNGCACCCACAATCGCTCGCGCGGCTGCATTCTGGACAAGCTGAAGTCTCCGAATGCTCTTCAAGGGCTGCCCCATGTAGAGCACATTGCAGTAGTGCAAAAATAGGTTTCTCTCTCTGCTTAGAAAAAAGCATATGATTTTACGCAGACTGGGAAAAAATCAGTCCAAGTCAGAAGCAGGCTAAAATTAATTTAATGTTGGAACAATGAGATGAAATGTCCCTGGAGAAATGGTGCCTAATGGTGCCTAATATTGAACTAGGATGTAAAGAGCTAGTTATATGCGATTGTGATGAAAGTACTTTGATTTTCTGAGAATTTTTTTGACCATGATATTGGAAACCCAACCACTTAAAATAATGTATGTATTTCTATATATCTTACACTCGGGGATTAAAATCCACTATAACAGAATCTCAAGAGTTTGAATTGAACTCAATGATGCCTAACTAATTAGCTAAGAAAAGAAGAGTGATTCGGATTTCAAAAAGCAGAAAAAGTCATAATTGGTTGGGAAGAACAAAACGCTGTGAAATAATGCTGTTAAATCCTACCTAAAATCCAACAATGAAGAGAAGAGGTGTTTCTTCCTTGATCAGCCGTTCTGGGCCCCATTGCTATCAATAAAATGAAGTTTTTAATCCTCCCTCCCCACTCCTGCCCCAGAGACAGCATCTCCAAGTTCGGGGATAAGAGAAGGATCTTGGAGATTGGTTGAGAGGCAGTTTAAACTGAACCAGAATTTTGCACATACCCTTTGTATGTTTCACTGTGGAATAAGATACCTTTTCATAGTCTTTGTAGATTGGGTGGGGGTGAAATAAATTATGAAAGAACGAGATCTAAATAAATCATTTTGCTTGTTTTCATCCTATATTGAACAGGTAAAAAAATACCATCGTCTGAAGGAGGAGGCCAGCAAAAGGGCAGCCACCTTGGCACAGGAATTGGAGAAGTTCAACCGTGATCAGAAGGCAGATCAAGACCGCCTGGATCTAGAAGAGAGGAAGAAAGTAGAAACAGAGGTCAGCCCTCTTGTGTTTTTGCTGAGCTTTCCTTTTTGCTGTAGCAAGCACTCTTCCTGAAATTAAACAAACTTCGCACCCAGTTCATCCGTTTCAGTGCCTCAGATGTACTGAATTTATTTTATACAAACTGAGTCACATTTATTTCAATTTACATTTGTTTTGTTATTCCAACAGAGAAGAAAACAAACCACAGTAGGACCCTGAAGCCCATCCCCAGATCATTGGGATTTCCCCCGCCCCCAGCCATAGCATTATTTCTTTTTTTTTTAAGTAATCTTTATTAGTTATACATTTTTTTAAGAGTAAAACATACAAATACAAATACAATTTTAAACATACAACCCCCCTCCCCCCCCACAGTGACAGTCATTCACAGCCCAACTTTTTTTCCCTTCCTCATTGTTAAGTCTCTAAGCCACA